AAAATGGAAAACTCCCACTAAGATCAGGAACAAGACAAGAGTGGCTGCTATCACCACTTCTATTCATCATAGTATTGGAAGTCCTAGCCACATCAGTCACACACACAAAGAAAAAGAAATAAAGGGAATCCAAATTGAAAAGGAGGAAGTAAAACTGTTACTCTTTTCAGATGACATGATAGTGTACATGGAAAACCTCATAGACTCCACCAAAAAACTACTCAACCTAATAAGTGAATTTGGCAAAACAGCATGATACAAAATCAATATTCAGAAATTGAAGGCATTTTTGTACACTAATAATGAAATATCAGAATCAGAAATCAGGAAAAAAAATCCCATTTCTATAGCAACAAGAAAAATAAAGTACCTAGGAATAAACTTAACCAAGGAAGTAAAAGACCTGTATTCAGAAAACTACACAACACTAAAGGTAGAAAATAAGGAAAACACAAATAAATGGAAGCATATACTGTGTTCATAGATTGCAATAATGAACATCATCAAAAGGTCCATACTACCCAAAGCAATTTGTAGAGTCAACGCAGTCCCTATTAAAATACTAATGACATATATCATAGATATAGAACAAACATTTCAAAAATTTATATTTATGGAACTATAAAATGTATGCAACCATAAATGACTCCTAGTCACTGCAGCAATTTTGAGAAAGAAAAACAAAGTAGAAAGGATCGTAATACCTGACCTCAAACTATATTACAAGGCCACTGTAATCAAAACACTCTGACTCTGACATAAGAATAGGCACATAGATCAATGGAACAGAATGGAGATCCCAGAAATAAACCCATGTTTCTATGGTTAATTAATATTTGACAAAGGGGGCAGAAACATGAAATGGAGTGAAAATAGCCTCTTCAACAAATGATGTTGAGAGATCTGGACAGCAACACACACACACACACACAAAAGAAAAAAATTCGACCACCAATTTACACCATACACAAAAAATAAACTCAAAATGGATAAAGGACTTAAATATGAGTCACAATACCATAAAAGTCCTAGAGGGGAACATAATCAGGAAACTCTCAGATATTCCATGCAGCAATATTTTCACCAGTATGTCCCCTAGAGCAAGGGACATAAAGAATAAACAAATGGGACTTCATCAAAATAAGAAAATTCCACACGGCTAAAGAAAACATCATCAAAATGAAAAGGGAACCAACCATATGGGAAAATATATTTACCAATGATACCTCTGACAAGGGTTTGATATCCAAAATTTATGAAGAACTCACACAACCCTACTGCAGGAAGACAAACAATCCAACTAAAAAATGGGCAAAAGACCTGAACAGACACTTCTCCAAGGAGGACATACACAGGGCCCAGAGACATATGAAAGGATGCTCAGCTTCACTATCCATCACTGAGATGCAAATTAAAGCCATAGTGAGATACCACTTCACACTGGTCAGAATGGCCATCATAAACAAATCAACAAACAACAAGTGCTGTAGAGGTTGTGGAGAAAAGGGAACCCTAGTCCACTGTTGGTGAGAATGCAGACTGGTGCAGCTACTGAGGAAAAGTGTATGGAATTTCCTCAAAAAGCTAAAAATGGAACTGCTCCAGTAATTCCACCACTGGGATTATACCATAAGAATCCCAAAACACCCATTCAAAAGACCCTATGCACCTCAATGTTCATAGTAGCACATTTACAGTATCCAAGTGCTGGAAGCAACCCAAGTGCCCATCAATAAATGAGTGGATCACAAGTAAAAAATGGGCAAAGGACCTGGGCAGACACTTTTCCAAGGATGAGATACAGAGGGCCCAGAGACAATTTAAAGGATGCTCAGCATCACTAGCCATCAGAGAAATGTAAATTAAAACCACAATGAGATACCACTTCACTTCACACCGGTCAGAATGACCATCATAAACAGATCAACAAACACCAGGTGCTGGCGAGGCTGTGGAGAAAAGGGAACCCTAGTACACTGTTGGTGGGAATGCAGACTGGTGCAGCCACTGTGGAATGCAGTGTGGAATTTCCTCAAAAAGCTGAAAATGGAACTGCCTTTTGATCCTGTGATTCCCCTGCTGGGACTACACCCTAGTTTGGGGGACTAAGAACCCCAAAACACCAATTCAAAAGAACCTCTGCACCCCAATGTTCATAGCAGCACAATTTACAATAGCCAAGTGTTGGAAGCAGCCTAAATCCCCATCAGTAGACGATTGGATCAAAAAATTATTGTACATTTATGGAATACTACACAGCAGAAAGAAAAAAAGAACCACTACACTTCGCGACAGCATGGATGGAACTAGAAAACATTATGCTAAGCGAAAGAAGCCAGGGGTCGAAAAACAAATACCATGTGATCTCACCTATAAGTGGAACCTAAGAACAAAACAAAGATGCAAGGAAAATATGACTAGCAACACTGAAAGAAAAAAGAAACCAACAGAGACAAGAGGGAAGGAGGGAGGGGTGGATGGGGAACGGAACGGTCAAGTCAAGGAACATAAATCAAGGACTCATGGACAAAGCCAAAGTGGGGAAGGAATTGAGGGTTAGAGGTGGGAGTGGGTAGGGCTGGGGAAAATGATGTGGGAAAATGGAGACAATTGTATTTGGTCAACAGTAAATAAATTTTTAAAATATATGCTTTAATAAATGTTTTTGTCTTAAATCCTCCACTACATAAGTGTAATATAAAATGACCCTACTGATAACTTTCCTGGTGAAAGGAACTATCTCCCATTTCAGCATATTTTAACCATGCCCTTCACACACCAGGTAGTGGATCAATTTGGGTTCCTGTTGCTGTGCACATAGCCACAACATCCTAACCTGAAAGAAATAGTGCCCATTTGGTTATGCAGATCCTGGGATATCCTAGCTAAGTGCATACAAAATATTTGTAGAACTTTCTAAGCATATATTTCAGTTTAGTTCCCTCCCCCAAAACAGAAAAAGTCCATTTGGGGAAGACGTCCATTTTGGGTATTTCAGAAATACAGTAAGTAAAGCAACAGTGCTAGACTTACAGTGACAGTCCACCTGTCACATTACTGCCTCCAAGATGTGTTTCCTGGTGAGATGGGTTCTGTTTTTTCTCTATTCCATCTCATTGATGCATCATGGAGCCAGTTGCCAGTACAATCTTCTCCTCTGCTGAATTATATAGTCTGAATTTTAAACTCGAATTTTAGATATGTCTTATGACAGCATCATGAGCATCCAGTCAGGTACCTAAAAACAAAACAGCAAGTGTCTGTGAGAAAACACTGCTGCCTAAATCTTTTCTGTCACAAGACCTAGAGCAGTGGGCCTGGCATACAGTTGGTGCTCAGTAAAAACACAGTAAATGAATGAATTTTCAGTCTCTTTTAAATACTTTTGGACCTAGTTGAGTCATACACCACTTCCCACTCAGCCCTTACTGTTTACTTCTGTGGAATAATGTAAATGTTCTATACAATCAGTTCCTTTGGAGGAGCCTGATCTATAGGTAAACTATCTTTTTCATGCCTCTATTAGGTCTGATATATTTCAGTAAATGTTTACTATTGAACTCAAAGTGATATTGGCAGGGTGGGGGTGGGCAGGAACCGTAAAATATCACTGACATCTTTTTAAAAAAATGGTGATATTTCTAATTCAGCCCAATAGTATGCTTATCATTAAAACCCCTTGGGTAATTTTCATGCTAAATTTTGATTCATGATACCAGGACGTCAGATATTTCACTGAGCCTCTTAGTGCTTTCACAAGTACTTTAAGAACCTGTCCTGTGTGCCACGTAGAGGAGTTCTGTGAGGTTATTTGTAGAAATACTGTAAGGCTTACAAAACAAAGTCATTGTTATAATGTTGCCAGTGGAAGTGGGGTTCTTGTGATGTCACAAAGAAAACATTCCAGGACACCCACAAGGGAGAATGAGGTGTGGCAAGATTTATTCGGGTGGTAATAGAAGACTGCCTTTGGGTGCCCAATGTTCTATCTCCATACATTCTGCCAGGGAAGAAGTTCAACTGTGTCTTTAGCAATGCCAAAACAAAAGCCAGTGTCCAAAGCTTCTGTCTTCTATTAAAGCTTAGTCCTTTGGGACCCGCAGGCAGCTGCTAAGTGGTTTCAGTCCCCATGCAGGTAGCTTAGCAATATTTCCAGCTTTGCTGTTGTACACAGGCTTCCATCTGGAGCCTGCCTCCGGAGTCCCCGCAGCTGCTAGACCTGTATGATCGTTATGGAGGGAATATACAAAAGAATGGGATGAGTGCATGTCCCAGAGAGAAAGGCAGAAAGAAAGAGAAGGAGGGAGAGAAAGAGAGGGAAAAAGAGAGAAAAAACGAACGAGAGGGAGAGGGAGGGGAACAGAATGAAAGGGGGAGGGAGAACAGATGGGGGAGAGAGAGAAAGATAAAGAGAGGGAGAGGGAGAAGTGTAGAAAGAAAGAGGAGGGGAGAGAGAGAGCAAGAGCTGCTTTATTAAACCTGATTATCTCGGGCTTGGAAAGGGCCAGGTACTTTTTCAAAATAACCAATCAATTTCTCAAGCTTTCACAGGTTTTTGATGGGTCCACTCTCTGACCAATTCATCCCCCTCCCAGGCTAGACTGATAGGCCTCTGTGGTCACCATTTTGGCTTCAGTTGTGCATGTACCTACCTCCCCCTTTATTGTTTTATTCCTTCTCACCCCGTAGCCTGAGCAAGTGGACCAGGGAGATTGAAAAGCCAATCATTCCTCCCTGTTTGGGTAAGGAAGGGTTGTTAATCCCTTTTGCAGGCAATGCTGAGATCCTCTGGAGTGTGTGAAGCTGTAGCTTCCTGACTAAGCAAGCAGGCTTATGTTCCTTCATTGGTTATGCTTCAGAATGCCTGATTCCCTTGGTTTCATTCTTTTATTAATAACTAGCTGACTACCTGTGGTAATAACCTGGCATCGTATGCTTCAGTACCATCCTACCCCGTATTAAGTTTGACTAAGGGGCCTTCACTGTTGTGTTTTCTATAGGCATTAGATGGCTTTATCATCGCTGTGACAACAGATGGCAGTATCCTGTATGTTTCTGACAGTATTACACCTCTCCTTGGGCACTTGCCGGTGAGTTTCCACTTCTCTGGGGGCCTTTGCCAGTACACATTCTCATTTTTCCTTGGGAACCATCCAGAACTATGGTCAGAGAGATACAGGTATGAGATGGTCTGTGTGTGAGAAGGATTCAGGAGTTCCCTTGACAAGACCCAGGCCAAGGTCCCAAGGGCCTTCCAGAGGAGGGGAAGGTGCAGATGTGTCATCCTGGAACAAGAAAGGTGCTATGATCTTGGCATGGCCCAACCTGGAATGGTGGACATGGTGCAGGTTTCCCTCTGTGCCCCAGAAGCCACCAAGGAGCCATGGCCTGAAAAGAGCATCACAGCACAGTTAGCAGAGCTCAGAGCCTCTGCAAAGGCTGACAGATGTCCTCCTGCAAAGGGAAACTTCAACACCTGGGTCTATGCACCAGAGAGCTGCAGACAGAACATGGTTTGGAGATCACTAGGACATAACTGAGATTGCAAGCAGGTACTGACACTAGTGGTGAGGGTTCAACAACAGGCTGATCCTGGGGGGACTGAAATACTCTGGGAAGATGATGTTGGCCCCGGAAAGTTTTGGGGAACAAGGAGGGTTTGGGCAGCCAAGAAAATAGGGCAAGCTCTGCTCTTCCCATGAGAGCCAGGCTGAGACTAGAAGGCAGATGTGTGCAGTACATTCAAAGGCCCTCAGAAATGTTCCACCCTCCCCCCTTTTCTGCCTTCTTTCCCTGTGTTTCTCCATTCCTTCTCTCTCTTCCTCCCTCCTCTCTAATACTTCCTCCTCTCAAATGAGCCTTGCTGACCCTCTGGTAACCCACCCTCCAACAGGATGAGCATCTGGCTCATGAAGAGTCCACTTTTGAGGGTCCCTAATAGGCATCTGGCTAGCCTTTCATTTCCTTCCACACCATTATTTATTCCTACAGAGCCTGGCCTTGAACAACAGCTCTATCAGGAGTATTCTGTGGGACTTGGGATAAACCTTCCTTTCTTCTTTCTCAAAAGCCCTGCTAAACTGATTACTCCCAGCACACCTGCAGGAAGGCTGCTAGTTCCTGTACCTAGGGACTCCTGGCCAGCAAGGTGTGGGAGGACTGGTTGCCTCTCCTTAGCCACACCTGCCCCATAACTGCAGGGGCTTTACCTGTGAGCAGCTTGCCTCCCTCAGGGTCATGACCCAGTATGCTGATTGCCCAGTAATCCACATCATCCTGGGTCATATTCTTCCACAGAAGGCACACCCCCCCCCCATAATTTCCATACATGATGCTGTGTGGAGAGCAAAGCCACCATCCACATTTATCCTTTGTCAGTCACTGCGTTTTAGCCCGGAAAAGCATTTTTTTACTCTGCTACATAGATGCCTTTACATTTTGCTATAATCCATCTGACCTCTACGTTTCAGCCCATTTTCTGCACCATTTTCAGGGTGTGTTAGGCCGGGGTGGGGGTACTTCTCTCCTCTCTCAGAGAGGCTGACTCTCACTTTGCCCTAAGGAATTAAGAGCGCAGTTTCATCTTGATTCTAGTCTCAGGCTAGAAGAATAGTGATGAGTTCAATCAAGGTGAGGAATACAGAAGTGACCCTACTCAATATGCCAGCTTCTTTGGGCTGATCTGACAGTTGCTGAGGAAAAAGAGGAAATGGGTACCCCTGAGAAGAGGGTTTGCATTTGTGAGTGGACAGGATTGGGCAATGATGGGCACAGATTGAAAACAATGAGATATCATCTCCTTGGTGAGCAGGAAGTGGGTGCAGGAGCGCAGAGCTGTTGGGTGAACAGGATTCACACTCCTCTGCTTTCTGCTTTTGTAATTATCTGATGAGCCAATTGCTATACATAGCAGAGGGGACTTAAAATTCCTGACTATAAAAAATAAGTCAGGAATTCTTCTAATTTGAAATTATGGAGCTATTTAGGACCGCATTTGTAAGTTGTTTCCTCTAGCTCTGGAAGGGCCAGAAATGACCCTGACTCTAATTTATCAATGCTTAGTAAATGTCTATATATAAAACCACAGCCAGAAACACACCGAGTTGGCCCTCAAGGTCCCCACTGGAGGTGAGCCTGGGCTGGACAATCCCCAAATTTAATTTCTGTTTACTTGTAGCTTATATTATCCAGTTTTCACCAAGATTGGATTTTATTTCTCCCTTTTGCTTGGGATTCACTTGCATCCTTTGATAGTGGGTGGACTAGGGTGATTAAGGATGGAAACTTCCCTGGTGCCAATCAGCATAAAGCCAATTGAGCAGGTGAGCTGGTCTGGAAGTAATACCTCTATTAACTCCACATTACAGGGAGGAAACCCAATGTGGCCCTGTTGGTGAAGAACAGAGACGGGTTTAATATAGGCACAACTGACTGCAAAGCCCAAGGCCTTTATCATCTGCTTTGCGTCTTTGTGATGCCAAGGACTTGGGTTGCCATTTAGAAATTCTGCTTTTGGTTCAGTTCACTTTTATCGAGACTTATTTATTACTCAGCATAGGCTCAGAACACCCAGGACATGTCCACAGATGATCAGTGATTCAAAAGACCCATACAAGATTATTTTTCCTTAAGAGTTTGCAATTTTATGAAGAGATTTTGACTGTTAAGCCATTAGAGGCTTAATTAGAGGAAAAATAGCTTACATTTATTGAGCACTTACTATGTACTGTGATGTTAAGTCCTCACTTAACATCATCAATAGGTCTTTGAAAACTGTGACTTTAAGCTAAACAACATATAACAAAACCAACTTTACCATAGACTAATTAATATAAACAAATTTAAGTTCCTGTGGCATATTTCTAGTCACAAAAACATTGCTAAACTTCTAAATAAAGACCCACAATACTGGGTCTTTATTAAACATTGAAATAAATATGAGCTATGTATACACGGAAGAAAGATTAATAAAAACAAGAAAGGTCATTATTTTCCAACCAGCTAATTCCAGTTTAGGGCCATGGTGGCTGGAGCCCACCCTGGACAGGATGCCCCTCTGTCACAGGGCCACCCACGCAACACACCCCACTCACTCAGTCTGAGAAAATGTAGACATGACAATTAATGTCACATGCACACCTTTGGAATGTGGGAGGAACCCGGAGTCCCTGAAGAAAACCCACACAGACATGGGGAGATACATGCACACTTCACACCAACAATGATGTCATAACAAAACATTATAATGAAATGACCTTGAAAGGATATTAACCAAGGACCTGCTAATTACTTAAAGATGTTATGCCATGTATAATGTGTTATTAAACATTTTCATGTTCCTTGAGGAATTACTTAGGTGGATGGTTGTGTGGTGTTATTTGAGGACATGCTATATTGCCTTTGCCTAACTTGACGTAAATTGAATCACAAAATATATCTTTTTTTGAACTTCTTTTGCTCAACGTTGTTGTGAGATTCACCCACCTCCCACTCTAGTGGGAGCTGTCACCCATTTGCTGTCATTACTGCATAGTGTTCCATCATAGGAATGTGTGCAGTTCTCTGCCCATCTTGGTTTGAAACTGAGAAAGTGATTCTGAGAATATTCTCAGAAATTTCCTAAGGAAGGTTTGCAAGCCTCCCTTAAACAGGAGGGTGTGGGCGCCTTTACCCTTATGAATAACTCCAGATGGTCTGCAGCTTATACCGGTTTACCAGTTTACAGAAGGAGGACAGGTGTGCCACAGCAGCAGGACTTGGTGTTGTCAGACCTGCTAGTTCTCATCAGTCTAGTGTGTGAAAGTGTCTTCTGGAGGTTTAATTTGCTTTTCTTTCAGTTATTAATGAGGTTAAATGTCTTTGTACATGCTTGTAGCCATTTGAATTTCCTCTTTTATGGAGTGCTTGTTCTGGTATTTTGCCATTTTCCTATTTGATTGTCTGGGTTTTTTTCTTATGATTTGTAAGTATTCTTTCCATGTTTTCAACACTAGTCTTGAAACTGGTGAGATCGATAGCTGTTTATTAGTCGCATGTATTCACAGCCAGGGGAGGAGGATGCAGAACCACCTGGGCTGCACTCTAGAACAGAGTACCCCAGCAGGAGCTGTGAGAGGCAAACTGTGCACAAGATGGTGCAGTGCGGTGCCCTCTGGGGTGAGATTGGCTTGTTTGAATAATTCTGTGTGCTGGCAGGGGACTAAACCTGCCCCTCAGGGATAAGCCTGAGGCACTCTTGGTCCCTTTGAAAAGAGGGTTGTTCAGCTGGGGACTTTATCCCCAGGGACTGAGTGCAGAGAGAAGCTTCATTCTAGGCCAGTCAAGGCCCTCCCAATTTGCCAAATGGTAAGGCAGCATATAACATTGAACCTTAATTTTAGACTTTACACCACAGGTATGTACATCCTAAATATCTTAACTCATTTTGTGGCTTTCTGTTCACCTTCTTGTTAGGCTCTTTTAATGAACAGAGATTCTTGATAGTTTGTATTTTTCATATCTTAATTAATTTTTCACTACACAGTCAAAGTTATTCTCTATACAGTCTTCTGAAAGGTTTATTGTTTGGCCATCAGTTTTACTCTGAATCTAAATGGAAGGAAAGCATATCAAATACACCTTCCTGGACCCTGAGGGAGACCAAGGCACTGCCTGACTCCCTGAGGAATGAGCCCATTCCTGCCTCTTCTCACTAGGAGGCTTCTCCAGGATTTCTCCTCATCACCCCTTCTGACTGTGGCCAACGCACATCTCCAGCCAGAACTGGTGGAGCTCTTGGAGGCATTCCTAAACTAAATGTTCATCCAGCCCACTCCCAGCTCAGCAAGCCAGCTTCCTGTGCTGCCTGCACAGGTTCACTTAATCCTGCTAGGTGCGATGGAACTGATGCTACTGGGTCACAGAGGGAAGGAATCTGCTTCCTCTCTCCGAGCGCTTTCATTTGGTCCCCAAGCTCTCAGGGTGCCTCAACAGAAAACACAGAAGATGTGCAATTTGGAATTTGGGGAGGGCATTTTAAGTGAAACTCAGAGAAGGGATGGATTGTTGATAAAATAACCACAGACATATCAGTAAATTGCGTTAGAGACCC